TATATATATATATATATATATATATATATATATATATATAGAGACATTTTAAACCCTTTCTCACACTCTTGCAATATTCTAAACAATGTTTCTAAACTCTAAATGCTCTAAAAGAGCACAGAATGTCATGATATCAGCTCCCTGCCTCCTCTGCTCATTGCCACCTGCAAGCACTCTTGGCCACGCCCACTTCTCTGCTCTGCACGGTGAACAGCTGATCAGCTGCAGCAGGAAGTTGATCCTGCAGTGTGGCCTGCACAAATGTGCAGCAGGTGCTAAATAATTTAAAATAATTCATTTTAAATAACAATTCCATGACAATCGTGCAGCTCATCCATCAATCAGCCAACTGTGTGTCATGTCCAGTCTTATTTTGAAAAATCTTGATAGAGCAAGTCCGCAATAAATGAAACACTAAGTAGCGACGGACTACTGTAGTTCATATTCTGCGGGTATTTTAAAGTACTAATTTCGGCACATAATGTCACAACAGCATAGGTATTGAGAAACAAGTACATTTAGCCACTAACATCTCAGCTATGTCATATAGAATATAGCTGTAGAACAATGAGTTGAGCTAGGATAAGCAAATGTGACATTTCTTTACAACAGCAGCTTGCTGTAGCACTTCCTGTTCAGCACAAGCAAATCATACTAGGAACGTCATAGGATTTTTGTTGGAAAAACCTTGTATTGATTTTTTGTAGAATGACGTTAGCTTAAAGTGACAGAAATCCACTAGTGTTAGCTAGCATTAGCTTGGCAGTCCAGTCAGAATAAAACTCCATTCTCCAAACTGAGGCCATTCAAAGAGCTGTCTACCTCAGGTAAGATACTTATTGTTTATACATTTAATGCAGGACTGCACTTCAAAATCTTAGCTTTCTCTATAAAACGGAAACAAATTTTTAACATAAAAAGTAAAATAATCCAACATGTTTATGCTGTGCAACATGGTGCTACTTTTTAGATTTTTTTTTCTTCTACAAGTGACAATGAAAAAAAAAACATTTAATATTATATAAGCTCTGAATGTATATGTTTCATTCAGAGCGTGTATATTTAAAGATATTTCAAGAGTGATGAGCTGGTCACCCTACATGAGACTAATGAGTCATGCAACTTTATGACATTTTTGCATCGTAAGGACTGGCCTGGCTTCAAACCCGGGTTCAGCGTATTTGCATTTGGCGTTATGGCTCACTTCCAGCCTCATTCCCAAAACCCAGAGACCTGGGGTTCCATTCGGGCCGGGCTGTTGGGGCCGATTTGGGGGGGTCACGTCACAGATGATCATCCAGGGACTGCTTATTTCCTCCACTAGTGCGTTGCCATTGGTTTGAGAGAGAGACTGGATACACAAAAAGTTTTGGTACCCTGGACAAACATGTGTGTGGTGTATAGAGAAGAAGGAGAAGCAGAACAAGCTCGATGTCGTCCACTGTTTTGTTACAAATAATGTGACATCACGCGTTTTGATATGATGATCCCTGCCCACACCGAGGCGACACTCTGCTCAGAGCAAACTTGTCTTGCGATTGCGTTGAGTTTTCCCCGATTCTGTTGTACGTGTGTTCAGCGTCCCCTCATGTAGTCAGCTGCTGCTCCCCCCGCTCTCACCTGTTCCTCATTGTCTCTCCCCAGGTGTTTGTCATTGTCCATCGTTAGTGTCGCTCTCTCTTTTTGTCTCTCCCTCGTCTGTGGATTATGCGTTCAGCAGCTGTCACGCTCTGCTCCTCCGTGTCTCCCAGTGAAGATTTTCTGTAAGTTTCGCTGCCACGCCAGCCTTTGTTTTAGTATTTACTGTATTTAATAAATAAGTTTCTTTATTTTTTTTACCCTTGAGTTCCTCATAGCGGTCTGCTCCTGGGTTCAAACTTCCACAGAACATGATAACCATGGCCGAGGTAGAATAAGGGCAGGCCGACTGCAGCCAGACCAGACCATGCCAGGCCTTACAGTGCAAAAATGCTATTAGTGCACCTTACCTGATGGTTTTTGACTTGTTTCAGTGCAAGCAAGTTTTTTTTGTGTGATTATGCTCATGAGCCTCAGGATTACAGTAATGTGGCACTAACTACTGAGCTACTGCAGCCCTTTGCTCTCATCGCAGGAGATTACATATTATTAATGAAACTGTGAGAGAAAAAATAATCACTGGATGCCCATCTACAGCTGATTGCCTTTGGGAGTCAACTCAGTTTAAGATGGCTGCAACAGCTAATCAGTGTTAGCAAACCCAAAGGCATCTGCGACTTAGTCAGTTTCATAGACATTGAATTAAAATTTGATGTGGTAGTAGCTGACACTTGTCCCCAACACATATTCAGAGCACTAACAGATCGCACAAGATCTTGGTTTAAACGTTCACGCTAACTGCACTCAAATATGTCTGTCTGTTAGCAAAATATCTCATAAAGCACTGGATGGATTTCAATGACACTCACAGAAAGTAATCTGTTGATGCACCTCTACTACTGGTTACCTTTTGATATCAGCCAGATTCAAGATGGCCACCATAGCTAATCAACTTTAGCAAACATTAAACTGGCTATCACTCAGACTATTTTATAGGTATTGATCTTAAATTTAGTGCGTTAGTAGCTGAGAGTCACCTTTAACAAATACTTTGAGCGCTAAAGACACATTTGGAATAAAGTGTTATTATCGTGTGCCACACGACTCGTCTGATCACCCAGGCGTTCCCTCTCTCTGTGTGATCAACTCAGAACCGTTCTGAGTTCTATAGTGTCAGGTTTTGCGCCCCAGGAGTGGATGACAGTGATGTGGGTGTTACAGGGACAAAAACGTGCTCTGCTGTGGATCAGAAGCCTCCAGAGAAGCCGTGTATCCCTGCAGGTGTTGTCTGCCACTCCCAGGAACAGTTGCCACAAAGCCTGAGCTTGTCTTCAAATACCAGAAAAACTACTAGCACGTTGCTTTAAACCTCGGTGACTCACCAGTGAGCGCTACCTCCAACCCCAGAGAAAGGGATTCTTCTTCTTTGGTCTCATTTGCTGCTCGGTGATACTGTGACTTGATAAGTGGTAACTTAATGACCACTAGGCCTGTCACGATAACAAATTTTGCTGGGCGATTGTCTCAGAAATTATTGCGATAAACGATAATATTGTTTAAATGTTGACAATAATTTGTAATTATTGTCAAATTTAAGAAGAAATTTGATTTGATTTTAGTGTAGTACCTTTATTGACCACTGGATGGCAGTATAAGACTGTTTGAACCGAAGGATGGATAGTGAGGGAGCGAGCAGCTTTTAATTAAAAAAAATCAGTAAACAAGTTCTCAGCTTCTTTTTGCAGAGAAAAACAACTTTTAGACGAAGACACGGGTTTCGACAAGACGGAGGTTTTTTTCCCTAGGTCGGCCTGTTAGCTTAGCTCGTAGCTTAGCGTCTCAGCTTAGCTGCTTTTAACCATCCAAAAAATGCAATTTCGGACGGTTAAAATGGATTTTAAAGAGAAAAGAGAAAGGGAGGGGTCAGTGAAGAGCACCAGAGTTTTGCCTTTTGTCATCCAGTGTCTCCAGCAGAAAGAAAGAGACACGAAGAAACGATAAGGCCAATAAATGAAAATGAGGTTGATAATTTTCATTTCATTCGATTAATTGATTTATTGTTTATCACGACAGGCCTAATCACCAGTGATGCCAGTAGTTGCCTTCAAAGTCAACATTTCTTGGCCCTGCTCAGCTCAGTCCCTGCTGATTGATTTATTTGCCCCATACTGGCAGCAGTTCTGTAATCTTTACGAGCTGCGCCTTTCGTAACGACCTCCGCTGCCACAGTCGCAGCTCCCCATGTTTCCCCACGCATATGAAATATCTGTCGGCTCCATTACAAAACCAGTCGCGTCTTGAAGTCCCTCAACACTCGAGCAACTTCTTACATTCGTGGTGATGCGTATTTTTGACATCGGATACAGAAACAGATTCACTGCACTTCTAAAAGTCCCACATGATTATTTAATTGTAAGGCAGCGCTAGCAAAGAGGAGATGATGGATGGACAAAGCAGATGTGTTTTCTATGGTTCGGTGGTGGCATAAATATATTTATTTATAATCTGCGTGGCTGGGATTCATTTGGAAGTGGTGTAAACCTGCAGAATCAAACACAGCTACAGAAATATGGAAACAATTAAAGTAAAAAACATGCTTGCAAAGTCTGGGAAAAACTATATGAAAACAAATTTAACTCTATCAACACTAAACTAGAATTTAAGGTATTGCAAGGTATGCAAAAACTTTCAGACGCACCTTGCAATTAAAGAACTTTAGACATTTCTTGTTGAGGAATGAAGGTGATGTAGCCATTTTTGCGTAAACCTTAAAAAATGTCATGCAAACTGATAATGTGATAATCTGGTGTGATCTCATACAGTCTGTTAACACGCAGGGTATGAATGACTGTCAGCTACTTCCAAACAAAATTTTAGCTCAGTATCTGTCAAACTGGCTGAGTTATAGCCATTTTTGTGTTGGCTAATACTGTTTTCCTGGGATGGCTGTAGGCGATAATTCAACTCAGTTTCTCTAAACTGGTTGTTTAAAGAGCTATCTATAACAGGGAAGATATTAATTGTTCATAACCTTTCCCAAACACTCCACCTCAACAGATCTGACTTGTCCCTTGAGCCACATTACTGTCTGGACTTCCCTGTAAATGCATGGACAGTTTTGGTTGCTATGGGTTCTTAGAAGAAGGAAAGAGCAAAGCAGAAACAATGAGTCATAAACGCTCACCCTGGCAAAGTGTTCTGGGTCTCTCAGAAACACCGTCCTCTCCTTAGCAATGCTGTTGCTATGGTAAAAGTCCACCAACTCGTTGAGAGAGGAGAAGCCTTCATCCCACACGTAGTACTGACCGCCGCGGTCCTGCAGCACCTTGAAATGCTGGACGTGGTCCCCGTAACTGCAACGACACAAAGGCAAATGGAAACACTGTGAGATGTGCAGAGTGGGGTGTGACTTTGCCCCTTCTTGGAAAGTGAGTCCTCAGATCGTTAGAGGCTAACTTTGGTCACTTTGACCAAACGTTTTAGGAGAATAAAGTGTCTTCCTATTAAAGTGGTCATTAGCAGGCAATGCGTTTGTGATAGGTTGAAGAACTATTATTCATATTATTTCATAATGTTAAATGGTTTAGAATAAGTATTAATTCATATTCAACTGGTAATTCTTTTTTTTTTTAAATTAATTAATATTCCATATAAGCCTATAAACAATTTAAAATTGTTTACAACCTATTTTTCATGTTGCGTTAACGTCTGTATTATTTTATTTAAGGAAATTGCAATCCATTCACCAGTACAGTAATCAGCTAGTAAGCCTGTTGTGACCGTTAGTTGTGACCACACCCACCACCAGGGGGCGGTGCGCTCTCCTCCCGTTCCATGAAACTGCTCAGACAGGAAGCAACTTAAAATCACTCTCGTCATTCTTTCTCCCCTAGTTACAGGTAATGCGGATTGAAATATTATATGTTCCTATCCTGTATATTGTTAAGATATTTTAGAGACAATTCTTTATTATTTTGTCAACTTTTGAAGCATTTTTTTTAGTTTTATGAGTAGTTTGATAGAGCATTTCTGTGCGTCTGCGGTGTATTAGATAATGGCTGTGAAGCTAACAGCACAAGCTGTGCTAACTGTCGGGTTTTTTTTTTGTGAGGAAACATGATATAACACATATTTAGCTATATCTTCTTATTTTAGTTTATTAATTAGCTTTTATAGGTAATAATTTATTATTTTTATGAATTTTAGAAGTGTTTGTCTTCCCACTAAACATTAGACGTGGAATGGATGTGCAGATCACGTTTATATTGAGTCCGTCGGTCTAGACCAATTCTGGACGTCTCCACGAAACAAGGTCCACTCTGGACGTCTAACCACGACCTCACTTGTACGTCGATATAAAGTCGAATGTTTGAACGTCGGACTTGGAGGTCGTATAGACATCCAAGACAGATGCAGGTGTGCCTTAGTGAATCATAGTTTTTATAACCATAAAATTTACAGTCATAATTTATAATCATAAAAGAGTAACTGTGCACAGTTACTCTTTTATTAAACTGCAAATGTGAAGAAACGTGCAGCACGTCAAAAACTGTGCACAGTTACTCTTTTATGATTATAAATTTGCACGGCTTCATTTATAAACCAACTGTTGCTATTTACTCTCAAAGCTATTTCTGTTAATCCAGTAAAGAGGATAAAGGAAAAAATTTAAGGAGTGATTTATTTGTAAAACTTAGTACATCTGTTTCTACTGACATTTAAGGAGTGATGATTTAATTGTAAACCTAGTATCTGTAGTGTGGTTTCCTGTTGCACAATAGATGGTCAAATATACTGTTTCTTTAGTTTTGTTTACTGCACAGAGATGTGCAGCGGCAGAGCTGCTGACTATTAACCTGAAGGTCCAGGGATCGAACCCCAGTCATTCCAACATCCATCTGAGGGTGAATGTGTTAAACACTGCATGGGAACATACAATGAAGACAACACGAAGCACTTACTAATAATAATATTATCTGAAGTGAATAAAATAAGTTAAATTTTGATTTAGAAAATATGTCTATATTGACCGTCCAGTGGACGTCGGAAAAAGACGTCGTCTGTCGTAACAGTCTGCACCTGGGAGGGACCCAAATTAGACGTGCAAAAAAAACGTCATTTAGTCGTCTCCTTGCTCAGTGGGTTGTTTCATGAGTTTTTAGACAATACTTCTGTGCGCCAGTTGTGTATAGTAGTCCCTCGTTTATCGTGGTTGTTTGATGCCATGTCACGATGCACACTTTAATCTTTGCTAAAACACACTTTTCACTGCTTGGTTTCTAGTAGGGGTTGAACGAGTATATCATTTTTAAACTCGACATTAACATAATAAAACCCGAGTAGAACTCGAGTATTTGATGACGTCGTAGATCTCAAGATACAAAAATAAATAAATAAATAAAACTGCAAAAAAAGGTAATTATTTACAAAAAAAAAAAAAAGACCAACAAAGCATTGGGAGCGTATATTATGCTCCTACCATTTATCATACTGCAAATAAGTCACAGGAAAAACTAAACTATTAGTTATTATTATTATTAAACTGCAAATGTGAAGAAACGTGCAGCACATCAAAAACGAAACTTAACAGTGTGTGTGTGTGTGGGGGGGGGGGGGGGGTCGACCACCCCGCACCACCACCAGCTGTGGTGCGCATTAAGTTTAGTTTTAGAGATTAATATGTTTATAGATTTTTTTAAATAGGTTTAGAGATGAATATTTTTTGCTTTTTGTTTGTGAAACAAGGTCAGAGGAAGCTGTTTCTGGTTCGGTGGATTGGACCCGGTGTTACACCATATTCTGTGACCTGCAACAGCGCAACACCGCCCCCTACGGTCATACGGCGGTCACATAATATGACGTCACTACGGATACTCGATGTTACATGTTTAACCTCGATAGATGTCCTAGCAATCGATGTGTAGATTACTCGAGTACTCTGTTAATGCCCTAGTTTCTAGTTTTCTCTATGTTCGTTTGGTTTCTGTCAGCTCTGCTTCCTGTCTGCAGCTTTCTGCCTGTCACACCTCCTCTCACTGCAGCTCGTTAGTGTTCATGGGAAACACCTGTGCTCTGGTGCTTAAAAGCTCTCCCTCACAGTCTGGTGCCAGGACTCAGGTTTTGTTTGGCTGAGGAAAGACTGGTTCCCGGTGGAGCTAAGAGCGAGAAGAGAGAAGGCGGTAAGGCACGGCCAGGCTGTGAATGGTTGGAAGGATGTCAGAGGGAACGGAGTTGTCAGGAAGTGATTTTGCAGAAATGGAAGAGGGAGGGGATGGCGTAGAAAAGGACGGGATATGGCAGACTCAAAAATCTAAACATAAAAGGAAAAAAAACAAGACACCATATAGAATCGTCTGTTTCTGTAGCTGAAACAGATATGGTGGCGGAGTTTAAAATTATCTTGAAGTTTGATAAAGACGGAATGTCCTTTGGCACGTGGAATCCGATAAAACTTACTAAAGAAATCAACTCACTGATGGGAAAGGTGAAATTTGTGAAAGTGATAAGAGATGGATGCTTATTGATAATCTGTAATGATGTTACACAAAAAGAAAGAGTACTAAAAATAAAAAGAGTCCTAGGTGAGAATGTGAGTGGGAGGTTGTTAGATGACAAAAAGTATGTACGAGGAGTCATCTCGGGTATTCCACCTAATGTACTAGTTGAGGAGATTACGAATAATGTTTCAGGAGGGAAAGTAATTGAAGCCAAACGATTGACAAGATATAAAAATGGAGAAAGGAGTGATAGTTTTTCGAAAATATTAAAATTTGAAGAGAAAAGTCTACCAGATAAAGTGTTTGTGGGGTATATTAGTTATAATGTCCGGCCATTTATTCCACCACCGTTGCGTTGCTTTAAATGCCAGAAATTTGGGCACGTTGCAGCAATATGTAAGGGAAAACAGAAATGTGGGAAGTGTGCTGGGGATCATGAGTATGGAAAGTGTGAAAAAGGAGCTCCGTTGAAATGCTGTAATTGTGGAGGGGAACATAGTTCAGGATTTAGGGGTTGTGTAGCTAGTAAAAGAGCTGAGGAAATTCAGAAAATTAAAATCACTACAGGAATTACTTATGCAGAAGCCATAAAAAAAGTCCCCATGAATCCAATAATTCATCCAAAGAAATTGCTGGAAGAAGAAAAAATAGGATCTAACTGTATGAACAACTGCAAGGTAAAATAAGACACTTTACTCATGACAATGGAAGATTTTGTAATGTTCATGGTAGAGGTTGTCAATTGCACAGCTCAAACACAAAGAAAAACTGAAAAAAAAAAATCCAAATAATTGTGAAGGCAGCACAAAAGTATTTAGACTGTAAAAATGTTAGCTGGGAATCAATTAAATAAAAATTGAATGAGACACAATCTTCTCAACCTCAATCATGTGGTGGAGGACATTCTGCTTCATCCATCCATCCATTATCTTTATCCGCTTATTCCGTTTTGGGTCACGGGGGTCGCTGGTGCCCATGTCCAGCAATCACTGTGTGAGGGGCGGGGTACACCCTGGACGGGTCTCCAGTCCATCACAGGGCCACATAGAGACAAACGAGACAAACATTCACTCTCTCACTCACACCTAGGGACAATTTAGAGTTACCAATCAGCCTAACATGCATGTTTTTGGACTGTGGGAGGAAACCGGAGTACCCGGAGAAAACCCACGCATGCACGGAGAGAACTTGCAAACTCCACCCAGAAAGGCCCCTGGACTGGGGTTTGAACTAAGGACCTGCTCGCTGAGAGACAGCAGCTCTACCAGTTGCGCCACCATGCTGCCCATTCTGCTTCATGTTAACTTTAATTCAATGGAATGCAAGAAGTCTAATAAGTAATGGTTTAGAGTTTAAAAAATATGTTTCGGATTTGATAGTTAAGCCTCAACTGATATGCATTCAAGAAACCTGGCTTAAGCCACAATTGGATTTCATAATACCGGGATATATATCAATTAGAAATGATAGGGTGGGAAGACAAGGTGGGGGAGTGGCAACTTTTGTACAAAATGGTCTAAGATATAAAGTGGAATCAATTAGCCAGAAACATGAAGCAATAGTAATTAAAATCTGGATAAGAAACGGTCAGATTTCAGTGGTAAATTTATACAACACTAACAACAAGTTGTCCATTCAAGAGCTTATTGAAATAAATGTACAGAGTGACGGTAAAACTTTATGGTGTGGTGATTTCAACTCACATAATACTCTATGGGGGAGTATAAGTACAGACATGAAAGGATTGATAGTTGAAGAGTTTCTAGAATTACAGTCACTGGTTTGCATTAATAATGGTAGTCCTACTAGATATGACTGTAATAGGAATTTAGAACGCGTATTAGACCTAACATTAG